TGTTCCAATAATTGAAAATCTATTGCGGCAGTTGTATCGCCAACAGCATATGCAGGAATAACTTCAGTGAAGAATCCTGCACTGACGCCTGTCGGATATAATCCAACGCCCTTCGTGGTATTAGCCAGGGGAGTAGTTGTTTTCTGATAGGCGTCAGTTCATTCAACCTACTGTGTAGGTTGAATCATATGGTCTGTTTCAAATGTTTCGTTGCATATAGTTTTCATAGAGGAATTTGGACTTACTGAATTATAAATGTTCAATTAGCTTCAAGCTTTTGATTCATTAAAAATATTTCAACGTTGTGGCGAATGAAATTGAAATTCTTCTTTACCTTGACAAAGATTACAAAAACAAAAAGAATTCTCATCCAGAAGCCAACCTACAAAAATGCACATTTCCTAAGAACACAATAGCTTAGTAGTCCAACCAGATAATCACTTCGGTTATTGCTATGGCCCGGGGACAAAAGGCAGAAAATCGAAAGTTTTTACCGGTGGCTGTTGCAGCAGTAAGTTTTGCTAATATGGGGGTGGTCGAATCTCCGGCAGGTAGAATCAACCCTCATTTAAATTAAGGTGACGTTCTTCGCGCTAACATCAGCGGCGTTGACTCGGGGGTGAAGCAGAGTTTTGGGGTTGGCCGGTTGGGAAATTTAACACTAATCTAGCGGTGCCTCTCAATATTGGATGCGCAGTAAATTAGCCGGTGGAGTGAAGCGAGAGCTAATCAACATCGAGGAAATAACAATTGCAATTTTTTACCTGCACCAAAATCCTTCAAAAACATTTTTCTAGGGGTGATTCCGAATCGAATGAGCTATCGCTCATATTTTTAGGACCTTTAACTCTATTTTTCATGTTTTTGAACTTGTTGATTAGACAATCTGTGGAAAATTATATTCAAAGTTTTTATTTTAGAGGTATTCAAGTGGCACTTCGTGTTTTGCTGTAAAATAGCTTCCTCAAGCAATTTCACACAGACTAAATTCTACTCAATTTGTGCTTTATATATAATAAAAATTTAAAACGTGTGACCTTCTACCTACTTGATGACTAATTCTATATGAATTCAAGTAGAAACCAATCAAAAACTGATAGTACTTATGCAGCTCTGTCGAAAGATGGTTTGCAAATGTGGAATTGGTCTCCAAATTCAAGAAACCACTGCTATGTTCTGTAATTCTTTGTGAAAATTTCTCCCAGTTTGGCCAATATAAAGTTTTTGGCAAGAACCACAAGTCAAGTTTTGCCCGTTTTAATGTCATGTGTTTTTGTAGTTCCATATCTTAATGAATATTTATTCTACAGTGCATTTCTTTAATGTCCCCACCCGTTTTATTTTTTGAACGGATCAACTCAAAAAATTGAAATTTGGGATGAAGAAATTAATGCATGAATACTTTATTTTGAAGGGAAATTGGCAGATGAAACTTTCAAGATGGCGACTGGGCGTCGAAAAAAAATTAAATGGAAAGGGGGGGGCCTTGTGACATGTCATTTTGAAGCTCCTGACGAATACTAAAGGCTGACTTTCGACCAAAAGAGGTCAGATGTCAATCTTGCTGAAGTGCCCATCAGTAAGTTGAGGACCGCTCGGAGAGCGTGGGTGGATGGAGTGGATTTAAATTAAGGTGACGTTCTTCGCGCTAACATCAGCGGCGTTGACTCGGGGGTGAAGCAGAGTTTTGGGGTTGACTGATTGGGAAATTTAACACTAATCTAGCGGTGCCTCTCAATATTGGATGCGCAGTAAATTAGCCGGTGGAGTGAAGCGAGAGCTAATCAACATCGAGGAACTCGTATAGAAAGCAACGTGTTGGTACACTAAATGAAGAAGTTCTTTTTTTGTGAACTTTGACTTATTTGTCTTTGAAAACAGTAAACATTTAATAATTTCCTGAAGACAAACACATTAATATCGATATTTCTAGAAATATTCCTTTTTATTTGCCATATGGCAATTCCAACAACCCGATAAGATTTGTTGAGTTATTTTTGTTTATAAAAACGACAAAAATATCAGTACGACAATGAACATCATTGTTCAGTTAGAATACTCTCATTTAGTTTTCGGTTTTTCCAATATCCAGAAAAAATTAACGTTTGGGCAGGAATATTGGGAAACCATATTGTAGGACCTCTATTTATTGATCAAAATTTAACAGGGGAACTGTATTTGAATATGCTGGAAACTACTGTTGACCTTGGTCGAAGCGAATCCTTAAGAATTCGATATGGATATTGTATTCCAACAAGATGGAGCACCACCACATTACTCCAGACAAGTGAAAAACCATTTGGATACCACTTTCCCCGGTCGTTGGATTGGCCTTCGAGGTCCTACAGAATGGCCAGCCCGCTCGCCAGAATCGGACACTAGATAACACCTTCTCAACATGGATTTAAAGTGGAATTTTCCATTACGTTTGCATAAGAAAAGTTGGAAAAACTAAATTTCATCTCTCTGACAGGAAACTACTGAAGAAAGTGAATAATCTGTTTTAAATGGAAAGAAGGAGTATATTTTATGGCTATGATCTAGCATTGCTCTTTTCTATTGACAACTGTTTGGATTAAAGATATTCTACTCTTTGTGAACATAGTGATTCGTTAATCACAATCTCACGGTACTGGAATATTAGACATATCCACATTATCCACCTAAAAAAATGAAACCCCACTAAGTACCTACAAGTCGACAAGTGACTGACTAACCTCGGAAAATCCGACTCAAATACGGGATGTGTAATTTAAAAGGGGAATTCCCCTTTCCCCGACTGAAACATTTTCAGTCAAGTTTTTTTCAGTATGACAAGCTTTCGTTTCAGTAAAGTCCGCGCAGAATGTTTCTCGTACCGATCAGCATACAGGAAAACCTAACCTGCGACTTCTGCCACAAATTCCTAACTGTAGGACCGGTGAAAGTGTATCCAGATAAGAAAATGAAATGCGGTAGGTGTCCGCAGAGCACAAACGACGGGGGTACCGTATCCATTTACAGTCAAATTGCCCAGCTAGGCGTTTTCAAGTGCTTCAACAGGTTCGATGGATGCAACAATCTTTTGGGCTACCACGAAGTTAGGGATCACGAAGAAAATTGCGAAAGCAGGGCGTATCTGTGTCCCGAGTGCCCGGAAACTGTGATTGTTCCTACGTTTTTAATGATTAAACACTTCCAGGATAACCACGATAAGCGCTTTTTGCAAAAAAGCTGCTTCGAGCTAAATCTTGACGGTTTACATCAAACTGAAACATATCTGCACGGAATTGAGGATAATTTGTTCTTCGTTGAGTGCAGAAACAATTCCTCAGAGTCATTTTACTTGAGAACGGTGTTACTTGGGAATGAAAACAGGGCAGAAACAGTCACACAGCAGTTTGCAGTTCGATATGACAACTTGCTCAAGGAAATAGTAACAGAAAGAAAACCCTGCGATTCAACCAGTTCAGAAATTTCAGTGGGCTTCCAGATATCTAAACAAGCTCTGTACAGCCACCAGCAAGTCATGATAGAATTTCAACTGGATCTCACAGGCTCTCTTGCATTAGTGCCCTTGCCATCCACATTCACTGAGGAATCCCAACAACCACTGGATCTGGACTCCATCTTGGCCCCTCGGAAGATAAAACTAAGCGACCGTTTCCAGGACAGTCACCGGAACTACTCCGTGAATACAGACGGCATCAGCATTACCAGGGCCCTAGAGGGGGCAGAGCCCTTGGAAATACTCCCTCACTGCTATAACTGTTCTCATCCATTTACTCCCGGAGAAAGCTATGTGAAACTAGACAGCAACAAGTACCAGTGGGTGTGTTGGAGATGTGAAGAATACTGTAGAAAAAAAAAACCAGACCTGAAGTTTCTCAGCTACGAAGAAGTAAGTCCTGACTGTTTGGAAGAAAGCTCGTTATTTTCATGTACGTGGCGTTGCGAAAAAAAAGGTTTTTATGATAAGATACTTAAGTGATGTCAATATGTTTTGTTGCATTTTATAAATTCTGTGTTTCTATTCTTCAGACTATAGGAATTGAAAAAGTTACTAATCTGGATATTTCTGTAAAAACTATTCGCTTGTATCTATCAATTATTTTTACTAACGGAGAATGTTTTGTTTTTTCAAATCAGATACTGTGAATCAGGGAGGAGTTATTATGCCTTTGTGAAACCATTGCAATGAAGAAGAGCCCAAAAAAAATTACTTGACAAGTGTAGCTATGAGCTAATGAAGTTCTTAACAAAGAACTCTCTTACAAAAATGTGTAGATCATGCAAAGAAGTTTCAGATACAAACTAGAAGAAAAAGCAGAATCTATCAGTCATAGATGAAACACCAGATATAAAAACCTGCGGATCATGGCTGTCAAACCCAGAAAATAGCTTTAACGCAGCTACATCAGGATTATTGAACATTTTATGTTATTCATTCCAGTTCTCTCACAATTTAGGAAAATTTTGAACCTTGTGTTTTAATTTATTTCGACTCTTTTGTTCTCCATTTCACAAATCTCGAGTGTCATTTTCCCTGTTACTGCTTACATATTTATATATTTTTTATCAAGAGAAATAAATATGAAATTTTCTCAAAGCAGTTTATACATCAGAGCCTTCACGCAAGAGAAAATTAACTTTTATTTTCTATATACAATGTACCAAAGATATTTACATTATTTTCCTAACACACACCTTGATTATTTGCAAATTACTATGGAAATTAATGAATAAATAATTTTTCCCACGCACCCAGATCGTAAACACTATTCTTGGTATACGTTTCGTCAACGAAGTTTGCATCATCGGGAAATAATTATTGTAATCGCCTCAACATCATTCACAATTACCATTATTCAAAAAGAAAAACTCACCCTTTTCTCTGAAAAGTTGTATATACTGTTCCAGATGATTTTCTTTCAACCAAATTTCGATTTCGTGAAAATTCGATGGAAAACACTCCTCCCAAAACGGGAATAACAAAGAAACTGAATAATAACAAAACGCAAAAGCCAATAGAATTACCGCTAACGCTTTGGCACAACGCGTCATGCTACACAAACCACTCAGTTTACATTTTTTGAATAATTACAGCTTAATTTTAGAACAATTTGACGTCCAAACATGAGCCAGTGGGCCATGATTGTTTATTTATTTCGGTGCGGTTTGAAGAAAGTTACGCCATCTATCGTTTTTTGTTTAGACTATGTAAGATCAATAATGATGGTACCATTGTATATAGACTATATGCAATGATGGTACATCATTGGAGGTGGAGTTGATCGACTTGACTGAGATCGATTCTATTTCCTCGATATGGCTGAATGAAGTCAATTTTAATAAAATAAATCAATCTTATGGTAGGATTGTCAAAGGGATTCTACTGTTTTGACATCTACCTACATTATTTGAACGTCAAACTCAAGGATATCATTGATTATTGCCATAACTAACTCCACCTGTCGAGTTTTAGAAATGGAATATAAGTGAGTTGAATATTTTATTGTTCAATGTTGAAGTTTTTACTTGGGAAATATATACTAAAAAACTAATTAGACATGATGTGTAAGATTTCACGGCCGGTATCTAACAAATTGTCGGATGTTTCCGGGATTATTGGCCATGGTCTGCAGATTTTTATACCTGCTGGTCTGCTACTACGGCAGACAGCAAAGGCGACGCGGAAACGATCGAAGTGATCTACCTCGTTTTGATGCGCAAACTGAAATAGTCCTGGTTGTTCATGAACATGATAGTAGCGGTTAGTTATGGAACGTATATTTTGGTTAGTTTTGGACACAGAACTATAATATAGTTCTGTGGTTTTGGACCATAATCTGAAACTTGTCTCCAATTGTCAGTGTCAGCTGTCACATTGATAGATTCAAAATCAAACAACAACAACAAATCGAATTAATTTTGATATCTCAAAGTTGAATATATTTATTGAAGAAAAAATGATACGAGGAGAACAGAAAATCATTTCTGAAAAAGAACAACAGTCCTCCTTTGTTGCATTCGCACAAATGGAAGACTTGCTGGACAAATTGAAACTGCTTAATTATGAATCTGAATTTTTGAGGGACCTTAAAATAAAGCCAATACACAAGTAATAGTTTGTTGTAATTTGGGTTGGTTTGAATTGGTATTGTTTTTTCTTTTTGTTATTTAATTGTGCAATCTGTAGTATTTTTTCATTTATATATTGAATTTTGCTCAAATATTATTATAAGACATATTTCAGGTACTATTTTGTAGTGATCAAAAACCCAGGGGAACAATTTTACCTTTTTTCGCTGTTGGCAGCATGGCTTGCCAGAAAAAGCGGAAAGAATTTTCCACAACCTCAGGAATTTGACGATCCAAATGAAACCATAGAAAAAATATTAAAACAGGTCAAAGATAATGTAATTACAGGCTATAGGTTTTTTGCCACACAAAAACTATATTCATCCTTTCATTTACAGGGAATGGCTGTTGATTTTCCTCCGAGTAAATTGAAACAAGGTGTAGGAGAACAAGTGGTTCAAGTTCTGGATAATCTAGCCAACTTGGCAATTAAACATAATAATATTCTTTTGAAAAAGTAAGTCGAGGTAAGGTAGAAAGTGCCAATTTCGAGTGATGAAGCTTTTAGGCCCAAACCACCGGAGGAGAAAGAAGAAGAAACTGAAGTTTTCCAAGACGAATCAGAAATAAACCTTGATCGCGTTGAAGAGGAGATGATGGCAGCTTATTCTGATGATTCGGATGAGGAGAACATCTTTCGGTTAGACNTTTATCTGGAGGAAACCTCGAATTTTGACCTAATTCTGATTTTTTTTCTAAGAATGGTAACCCCCCAAATTTGAAATTGTCTCTTGTTTATGAATTCATACTTTTTGAATATATTCAAATAGAAATTCTGATGTTAAGAGTAATGATTTGAATTTTCATAATCCTAACTTAAATCTAAAAAATCTGATTTTTTTCTAGGAGGTACGAATCTTATCTAGGAATTCAATCTTTCAAAATGAAAATTTTAGTTTTATCCCTTAAATTTAAAATTTCGTGTCTCAATTAGAATTTGGAATTTTTACAGCCAAGAATTTTATCTTTTATCTCAGAAATCCGAGTTTATTCCTAAGTGAGACCCAATATCAATTTTCATCTCAGAATTCCTATTTAAATTTGTTCCAGAAACACTATTGTAAGATTTTCATTATGCAGTTTTACAAAACCGTAACACGTGTTTTGCTTTGTAAAAGCTTTATCATACTGACTAAATTCTATTTAATTTGTGTTTGATATACGCTGTCTGTTCAAAAAATAAGGTGAATTTTCATTTTTCTCAAAAAAATGTTATTTATCCATCAATTTCTATTTTTTCGCTTCTCTGTAACTATCTATCTTAATCTAAATTAAAGTTCTTAATAGTTCTTAATTCGGAATTTAGAAAACTAAATTATGAATTTTGACTTTGAATTGAATGGGAATGTTCCTCAAGTTGAAATAATGTATACGTAACTAGATAATCTATTTTAAAAAAGGGAAAATTATCTTTATAAATCAACAATTGAGGCAAAATATAAATTATAGTTCAATACCACCTCCACAAGCCACATAAACAACAGTTGTTTTGTTATTTATTTATATAGAGGAAGATAGGTTAGGTGCACAAAATGTCATATGTCACAGAATGTCTCGGAACTCGGAACATAAGTAAACAGAACAGCACGCCTCTGAAATATGTCATCTTTGTTTGTCTCATACAGGTAACAGATTCATTGTCCTTTATTAGCTATAACCGATGTTGCCAAATGGTGAAATAGAAACGAATCCCTTTAAATGTTGAATGCATTATTTCATTCCTCTTTTTTAAGTATTTAAATAATTTTTTAAAGAAAAAGGTTAAAATGATAAGTTTAAAATGCGTTGTTTTAGAGCTCTTTTATGAAAACTACTTGATTTTCGTCAGGAGGAACATTCCCCATATCTGGAAATTCTATTTTATTCTGTGACATGTTGTTAAAACAATTAAACCATCTTTCTAGCCCCCCTGGTGAATATCAAGAAAGCCGTCGCCAAAGTAAAGGCAGAAATAACCGAGATGGACGTCAGAATCGGTGTACTGGAGTGTGTGCTACTCCAGATGAAAATCAGCGAAGAGAAACAGATCGAGAACGAGTTTGGACAATCTATTTCGGTGTTTTAGACCAGTCACTTTTATTGTATTCATATTCTAGTCAAACACGTCGCATTTCGCGAAGGTTCTCTTGAATGTAGGAAATCAGTCAGGTTGGAACTATTTTTACATTGATTTTGAATAAAAAATTTCGGTATATTTCCAATGAGTTTTTTATTTCGAAGAATTGATAGAAGTTTTAGTCAAGGAAGTATATGATCCCATTGATTTTTGGAAATTTGTTGAAAATTTCCAAGAGCTGCATTACCAATAAATAAAGATGAGATAATCAACTGCTTTTCCTTAGTCTAATCAACAATTTCAAAATCATGAAAAATAGAGATAAAGGTCCTAAAAATATGAGCGATAGCTCATTCGATTCGGAATCACCTCTAAAAAAATGTTTTTGAAGGATTTTGGTGCATAGGATTTCATTAAATCTAGGGCAACTCCTCTTACACCATATCTTTCCAATTTCCCTAATAGCAGGTCAGGATTAACGCAATCGAAAGCTCTGGAGAAGTCTATGAACAATCAGCAAATATGGAATTTACCATCAACCACATGCTATTGAACTCATAAAGTGCTGTTTCTGTACTTTGGTTCTTGGTGAAACCGTGTTGGTTTTCTGAAAGACAAAGACGTCTGAAAGTAAAAATGCGAAACAAATGAACGGTAACCCTTCAACCGAAAAACCATCGCCTTCTCGATCCAGGTCTCTGAACATTCAGTTCAGTAAATCGTTCGTTCCTCTTTGAAGCGGAGATACCGCGATGTTTGAATAACATATCAAGTGGACCAAATTTTGCAGACAGCCTGAAAGGTGGCAAAAAGTATCATTCAGTTATCTCGTCTTTCCGATATTGTTTCCCATGTGTTCATTGGTATTTTGAACATTTGACTCCAATATCGGACAAAAATACGGGTGTACCCCCACACGCCGCCTCTGCTTTGCCAGGTTTCGCATGAAAAAAACTCACTCTTTATCGACGATCGTTTCTTTCACGTCCTTATCAGTCGCCCGATCGCCTACTTCGACCACAGTACCCTTCCCAAAATGTTGTTGATCCCAGACGAGTTTCTGGAATCATCCATCTGCGACTTTTGCTCAAAGTTCCTGACTGTGGATCCGATAAGGATCTATCCAGACGAAAAGAGGAGATGCGGGAGATGTTACCAAGGGGATACGGACTGGGTATTCTGCGAGAAGGGCCTCTTCGCCGAACAGGGCCTCTTTAAATGCATCAACAGGTTCGACGGCTGCAGAAGACTGATGACCTTCACGGAGGTGGCCCAGCATGAACTGACCTGTGAAAGCTATTCGTACGATTGCCCCGAATGCCCCTCGACGTGTAATCTACCCACGTACATGATGATCCAGCACTACGAGAAAGAGCATCCAGATCTACTCCTCATTACTACCAGCACGTTCAAGATCGACACGACGCATGAGGCGTTCAAAGTTTACATCCGCAAAGTGAAGGACAACTTATTCTTCGTGGAGTACAATAAGCAGGAGCAGGACAATTTCACCCTGAACACTTTTTTCCTGGGGAAAGTGACGAGGAGATGCGGATTGAAATATATGACACAGAAGTTTACGCTCAGCAATAACAACTTCTTAGAGACAACAGAGACAACATCGGAGATGGTTAATCGCGCCTCAACGACTAAAGCATTGGAGTTCCAGGGGTTCAGAATAGACGATCCCCTGTTCCAGCGGAAAATGGACGTGTCTGTGACGGTACACCTGGATTTAGATAATCTGGAAATTTTTCTAGCGAAGCAAGGCCTGGGACTAAATTCGCCGATGAAAGAATTGAAGAGTTTTGCCGGAGTCAAGATTTCAGATAATTATTGAATATTTTGGGTTTTAGACAGGTGAAATGGAATTATGTGAGTCTGTATCGACGTTTCGAACAAATGTTTGCTCTTCTCCACAATAAAGTTAGAATTGGAAATGAAAAATCGGTATGATAGGTTACAGTTTCAAATATTTTATAGGTTATAATTTTCTTTGTGCCTTTTCTAGTTGTATCTTTGACATGTACAAATATATACTCAATGCGTTGGGAGAAACGTTTTCATTGGCGTGATATGTCCAATAACAACATTTTCATTAGTGTAATTCGAAAAGAGTGTTTCTTTTAGTTTCTTCTACTCTTTGGAGTTTATTGAAACTCGAATTTTTAATCTGGCGGCTTTCGTAACCCCTCGATTTTCTTCCAGCAAGNTTTAAAAGGGGAATTCCCCTTTCCCTGACTGAAACATTTTCAGTCAAGTTTTTTTCAGTATGACAAGCTTTCGTTTCAGTAAAGTCCGCGCAGAATGTTTCTCGTACCGATCAGCATACAGGAAAACCTAACCTGCGACTTCTGCCACAAATTCCTAACTGTAGGACCGGTGAAAGTGTATCCAGATAAGATAATGAAATGCGGTAGGTGTCCGCAGAGCACAAACGACGGGGGTACCGTATCCATTTACAGTCAAATTGCCCAGCTAGGCGTTTTCAAGTGCTTCAACAGGTTCGATGGATGCAACAATCTTTTGGGCTACCACGAAGTTAGGGATCACGAAGAAAATTGCGAAAGCAGGGCGTATCTGTGTCCCGAGTGTCCGGAAACTGTGATTGTTCCTACGTTTTTAATGATTAAACACTTCCAGGATAACCACGATAAGCGCTTTTTGCAAAAAAGCTGCTTCGAGCTAAATCTTGACGGTTTACATCAAACTGAAACATATCTGCACGGAATTGAGGATAATTTGTTCTTCGTTGAGTGCAGAAACAGTTCCTCAGAGTCATTTTACTTGAGAACGGTGTTACTTGGGGATCAAAACAGGGCAGAAACAGTCACACAGCAGTTTGCAGTTCGATATGACAACTTGCTCAAGGAAATAGTCACAGAAAGAAAACCCTGCGATTCAGCCAGTTCAGAAATTTCAGTGGGCTTCCAGATATCTAAACAAGCTCTGTACAGCCACCAGCAAGTCATCATAGAATTTCAACTGGATCTCACAGGCTCTCTTGCATTAGTGCCCTTGCCATCCACTTTCACTGAGGAATCCCAAGAACCACTGGATCTGGACTCCATCCTGGCCCCCCGGAAGATAAAACTAAGCAACCGTTTCCAGGACAATCACCCGAACTACTCCGTGAATACAAACGGCATCAGCATTACCAGGGTCCTAGAGGGGGCAGAGCCCTTGGAAATCCTCCCCCACTGCTATAACTGTTCGCATCCATTTACTCCCGGAGAAAGCTATGTGAAACTAGACAGCAACAAGTACCAGTGGGTGTGTTGGAGATGTGAAGAATACTGTAGAAAAAAGAACCCAGACCTGAAGTTTCTCAGCTACGAAGAAGTAAGTCCTGACTTTTTGGAAGAAAGCTCGTTATTTTCATGTATGTGGCGTTGCGAAAAAAAAGGTTTTTATGATAAGATACTTAATCATGAGAGGTACTGCTCAAAGATTCCAAAGCAAGCATGTCCTATAAAAAACTGCCAAATGAGAGGGACAATTGACAGATTAAGGCCACATTTCGAAGAGTTTCACCCAGAGTTTCGTGTCAAGTTTGGTTCCCTTGTGAAAATTGAATGTCCCGCCACATTCCCTAATGTAGAAAGGTGGTTCGTTTGGTTCAGAGGGTGTTTTGTGCCGTTGGTGATAAATTGGGAAGATTCTTGTAGATGTACAGTTGAAATTCATAAATCTGCAAAAGTTTGTGATAAATTCAACGGGGGTGCTCTAATATTCCCTAATAAGTATAGTTCGTATTTGTGCGTTGCCACTACTGAAAACGTCTGTGTGGTTAAAAAATGTTTTTATTTTTTTTTCATTAAATTGTTCATTATGAAATGAGATCACTTTTCTGTCTTCTACTTGCAAATGGATGATTCAACGGTGAAGGCATTGAAAATTGCTTTTTCATGGAAATTAGAAGAAATCGGAAAGGAAGAAACAATTATCTATTCCCATTTTCGAACATTATTATTGGATTAACGACTTGAAGCAAGGCCAATCTAAAACAATTACTGCTCCCTACAGACATTGAATAAGGTAAATAAGCAGATGGACTTTCCTACTTCCTATTTTCGCCTGAAATATTTTAGGCGTGTAGGTCATATTGATTTATGCATACTGTGAAATTTTCAGGTTGATCCGTTAAATAGTTTGTCAGAAACGGCTATTTAACGCTCATCATGAAAAGCCCTGTATAGCTTAAGCGCACAGCACATGGGGTGATTCTTTGATACTGTCAATCTACTATAAGGTTGATGAAGTTGAGAGTTATTTCTGGTGAAATGTTCATGGATTTGCTCATGCAGATAGTTGGGTTACTGCGAATTTAGACTGAATATCATATGGCAGAATTTATGTAATAACCAACATGGATTTAGGAAAGATCCTTCCACAGTCTATGATTATCTTAATAACCCATACTCCGAAGTTGATGCCAATAATTTTGTAAGTATATTTTTTGATCTTTCAACGGCATTTGACACTATTTCACCGAATTATCTATATATAAAGTTAGGGAGGCTTGAGTTTCCACATAACATACTGATTTGACTAAAATCCTATATGAGTGGTCGGCATTTGACAGTCAAATACAACAATATCATGTCCGAGGAACATGATATGACTTAGGGGTTCCTCAGGGATCAGTACTGGGACCTTGACTATTTATGGTATTTCTCAATGATCTCTCAGACATGTTGGCAATTGTCTATGTTTGCAAATGATATCACAATGACAACCACTGGGTCCACACTGGAAGATGTACTAACAAGAGTCAAAGAGGTTATTGATGGATTTACGTCATGGTGTGAACGCAACCATTTAATATTGAATACCTGTAAATCTGTTGCAATTAGATTTTATAACAGAAAATATGACATTTCAGTTGTCACATGATGTCAAATTTCTAGGTACCATGTTACCCTCCCACAAATCAAATAAATTTAAAAATTCTCCAATATACAATGCTATCTCACTCTACAATGAATTGCCAAATTCAATAAAGGTGTCCAAATCAGATACAATCTTCAAGAATAATACGAAAATATTCTTAATAAAAATAACATTTTTATAGTTCAAAAGACTATGGGGTTGATAATTTGTGATAATAATCCCCATCATTTTGTTTTTGAACATCCATGTTTCCGCTATTTTTGGAAGAACTTGGCAACACTGGTAAATGCTAATGATTGGAAAATTTTGTTTGCCCAGTTATTTTGGTGGCTTCAATGGTACTATTTTTTTTTGCTGTTTTTTGTTTCCGGAACATAAAAAACATATATTATGTTGAAATAATTGATAGTGTTCAATTAGTATCCTTCTTCTGTTCTTTTTCCTTTAACAATTGTTTGGAGTAATTTGTTTTTTGCTGATATTTTATCTATCAATTCCTGGTGTGTGAGGCTGCTATTTTCATGTTTCTTTGTAGGAAGCTCTTCTGCTTCATGGCAAATATTTCTGATTTCACATATTCTTATTCATATCACATGGATTGTTGAAATATGGTCACAAGGNGGCTTTTTTCTGCATGTAGGTTATGATTTTACTCATCTATAACAAATTTTTCACTCTTCAAATTTGAGCAGCATTTGACATAAAACTGATAGTAATTTGTAGATTGGTTGTGGTTGTTTGTGAGTAAACTTGGTGAAATAATGATTATTAAAAGGAATGTTGCCTATCGTTAATTGTAATAGAAACACAACCACTCCACAAGTTGGTCTCAGTTTCATGTAAACCTCTGATATTGCAAAAAGCGAGTCGAAAACGCCTCAAGTACATGATGTATATGAATTTGCTCTTCTGTATTTTGTTTTCTGTGATATGAACTGTGATATGATATGATATGTGATGTGATATGTACTACACGAAGCAGATGCTGCATCCAGACGCTAGTATTTACGTCAGGCAGTGACGCGAGGAAAGTTCTTTTTTAATGTTAACAACAAGAGAGTTTTATTCAAATGGCTTTCATATAGTTTCGTTTGTCGCGCACATTACTTATTTTGGCCAATGACAAACTTTAAAACATTCTTTCAATCACCTTTAGGAGAGTAAACGTTTCTTATTGGCTAACAGAAGTGTAGCGCGACGCGACAGACAAATATCTGTGAAAGCCACTTTATAGATAGCAGGGATTATTGTTATTATGTTAATTTGCGGCTGATGAAAAGAGATAAATATAAGTATAAACAAACAATAAATTATGATTCATATTCACATTTCCTTTATTTTTTTATTGGGCGAGGTAGAATTGCAAATAGCAGTGAATCTAATGGTTGCGAGAAATTGAAAGTATAAATACACACTGCAAGAATGTCAGTGAAACTCTTACATTTTCTAACAGTGTCTGTTTACTTGAACTATATCGGTGGTGAAGTGTTCTTTTATCAACCAGAACAAATCCACATAGCTTACGGAGATGATATCTATGAGATAGTGATAACCTGGTCAACTTTCAATGACACTCAAAACTCTGTTGTGGAATATGGAATTGGGGGTTTGATACTGAGAGAAGAAGGCACATCGAAGACGTTTGTCGACGGAGGTGTTGCAAAACACACCCAGTACATTCACAGGGTTACCCTCAGAAATCTCACGCCTGATAGCGAATATGGTAAGTCACAAAAATTGCAATTGTAATATAGTAAAAAATGACAAAAAAATCTTTCGAAGGTTTTATTCATACAATTTATTGTTAATATAGGTGTATTTTAGATTATTGATGAGCATGTGTACATTGTATGTTATATTGGTGAATAAATCTATTCTGTTATATTCTATTCTATAGTGTACCATTGTGGAAGTGATTTGGGATGGTCCAATCTTTTCAACTTCAAAACAGCTCCCAATAGATCTGACTGGCAACCCCACCTAGCTATTTATGGTGATATGGGCAATGAAAATGCTCAGTCGCTTGTGAGACTGCAAGAAGAAACTCAAAGGGGGCTCTACGATGCAATTTTGCATGTGGGAGATTTTGCATATGATTTGGATACTGTGAGTATTTTTAGAGAAAGAGAGTTGAAAAAATCATCTTAATATCAAAGTAGTCTCAATCTATGCTCCATCCCAAACTATAACAGATACATAGCTAGTTNAGGGGGCTCTACGATGCAATTTTGCATGTGGGAGATTTTGCATATGATTTGGATACTGTGAGTATTTTTAGAGAAAGAGAGTTGAAATTATAATCTTAATAACAAAGTAGTCTCAATCTATGCTCCATCCCAAACTATAACAGATACATAGATAGACTTTATTGAAGCTCACAATTTATACGTTGCAAAGCTCAGGTCAAGGGGTACAGTTCAACGAAAAAAAATTGATAAAATGTAATTATTAAAAATATGATAGTCATCAATATCAACTAATCTTATGTGTTGATGTAAAGGTACAAAATTGAAACAACCTAATAAATTTGTATGTGATTTGTCATAGTCCATGTTGAAATTGTAGTTTTCTTCAATTCAAGACATCTTTTATGTTAGGAAATTCTTGTTTTGAAATTTCTTGAAGTCTTTCCCAGATAAACTTTTGGGCACCCGGAAAGACCGTTTTTGATGATGTGTGCTACTCTATGTTCGAGGTTACTGCCTGTGGATGTGAGTGCAGTTTCTGTTTCAATGCCTACAATTTCTATTTTCCATTCCAACTGATGAAGTTACCGTGTAGCCAAACACATCTTATATAAAATTTGTTTTGTGAATTGTTGAATTACTAGTATTATCAATTTTTATCAAGTAACCACTCAGTGTATTCATATCTGAGTCTGTTCTCCGTTTTCAAAGAAAAATAACAAACAAGAATGTTGTGGATATTTGAGATCGCTGGGTCTTATTTTTCTTAGATAAGGTTTGTTTTGATTGTGGCAGATGCCAAGGTCGAAATGCTTAAACTGAACTATTATTAGGAATAGTCAGATGACCTCAAGTTTTTGGTAAAATTCATCAGAAGAATTTGCCAACATTCATTAATTGTATTGAGGATCTCGTCAATGAAGATTGGTGATATTATTGAAACATATATTTTATTGTTTTGGTTTAGTAACAAAAATTTGATGCACAGGTTTTTGATGAGTCTTTATGTATGACCTTCAATAGATTTGAAAATAACTTTGAAAAGAATTTCATGAATGATATTCAAAGTAGTGATTTTTGTAGACAATATTAGTTAAATGATAATGTTTATTCATTCATAAACAGCGAAACGATACAGAAATTCAATTGATACAAAAAACTTAATGATATGAGACTGAGAATGAATAAAAAATCCACAAAAGCTGATATTATCAGCTTGTGTGTGGTGACATAGTTTTATTATGTGATGTTGATGAATCAAATGAATACAGTCAAAACAATGAATGAGTATCTTTTTGAGGCAATCTTGGCTGACTGAGTTGCCTCGCATTTTTTAGTTTCATAATTATGATGATCTTGACTGATCTTCTAACAGTGAGTAGAAAATCAACATACCCGGTAAAGACATTATTCCCAATTTTATAAAAAGTGGTTGACAGTGTGCGTCGAATGGAGCTCCAGCTATAATTCTGATGGCTTTTTTCTGCATGTGAAAAACTCTGATTGCATAAGTAGATCTACCCCAAAGGAGTATCCCATATGAAAGGTGATAGTGAAAAAGGGAATGATACGAAATGAGAAGTGTTTTATGACTCAATGCTTTTTTCAACTGGCGAAGTAGAAACAACTGTGTCGAGAGTTTTTTACAGAGATGAACAGTATGTGATTCCCATCGAAGCAACTTATTTATAATTATATCTAATAATTTAACTTGATCTACGATTGTTACCCTGGTAATAGAAGATATAGTTATTTTCTGAGTTTTTTCCCTGTTAAGTTTCAGTTTGTTGGATGTAAACCAGTGTTCTGCTCTGTTTTTGGTTTCTTTGGCATTTACATGTAAATTTGAGATATCAGAATTTGATTGTAACATTGTGGTGTCATCAGCAAAGCAGATTACTGTACTGGGTAAAAGGTAATAGAATATATCATTTATATAGATTACAAAAAGGGGTGGACCCAAGATGGATCCCTGAGGTATTCCATTATTCGTAGAACTTTCATCTGATAAATTACCATTTACGTATACTGCCTGCTTTCTAGATGAGAGATAAGACTGGAAGAATTTCTCTAGTAGTAAATGATTTACACAGTCAAAAGCTTTACTCAGATCCCACAACGTTAGAACTGTATGGTCTCCACTTTCCACGTTTCTAATCTACTGTTGGATGACTTCAAGTACTACGTCGGTGTTGGATCTATTTCTGATGAATCCAAATTGATGTTCATTTGAATTCATTGTAGTAGTATTTTTATTGACCATATTTAAAGAGTTTCGTTCAAAATTGATCAGTCTCCACGTGTCTTTGACTTTGTTATTTGGCATTTGAATAAAATGTTGTTGATTTTCATCAATAATCGGCCAGTTCCATCACATCTGATATAACAGGATTTTCTTTAACTTTTTCTCAGAACAATGCAGAAATAGGAGATGCGTTCATGAGACAGATCGAATCCATTGCAGCATATCTACCCTACATGACCTGTCCTGGTAATCACGAAGAGGCATAGTAAGTATTTTTGGCAAAGTTTAGACCTCAATCGAGTTTTCAATTACTGTTGTACCGGAAAATCATTTTCTCTCTTGCAGCAATTTCAGTAACTACAGAGAACGCTTCAGCATGCCAAGAGGATCGCAGTCCTATATGTACAGCATAAACATAGGCCCTTTGCACATAATATCCATTTCAACTGAAGTGTACTACTTCTTAAATTACGGCATAAAACCGCTAGTTTTTCAATACCAATGGCTCGAGGATGATTTGATAAAGGTGAGACAATTACTAAATACTGAAGTCATTCAAAGTGAGGACGTTATAGCGAGGTAAATCATTGAATTTGATGTGTATACTTGGTAGGTCGGTAGGTGAGTTGTGTTGAAAAAGTTAGAGTCACATGAAACGGAAGATTGGATTTAGATGCTTCTATTCTTGTTTTATGTTTACCAGAAAATCGTTGAATTTTCATTTCATTCAGTCTCTAGATTTGAGGGGTCAATTTCAAGACAGTATCATTCCTACTATAATAATTATTGTTGTGCACTTATAATTTTGTTTGTGGAAAAATTAGAATCGCACTCCCAAGTATCCAACTTTTAATTTCATGTATAAATAAAAATTCGTTTCAACTTAAAATTCTCTTATGAATGAAACAAGAAGCATTTTTGAGTGATTGCAGATATTTTCTCTTCAATTCCATAATAACTAATTGTTATTAGTTATTATATCTTGTAAGATTAGGATATTTCTTATAATAAAGATTACTATTCTTCATGAAAATAGATACTAAAGTGCATTGTATGATCATTCTTTTCAAAGCATGTTTGCATTTAAACAGAGTATTTTTTTTGTTGTGATCTTAAATTTTTTAAGAAGTGTTAATTTCTCAAACAGTAGGAACACACATATTTTTGTTTTGAAATATGTTGATATTAGCAAAATTGTGTTGATTGGAATTACAAACAAAACTTTTAATTCGTTCATGGAACAACTTTTAGACCAGCTGTAAAACATACCCCGGACAATATCTGTAGGATAATAGGTTGTTTATTGTTTACTGTAACTTCTCTCAGTAGTTCTCATATTTCACATAGAGGGCCTGCCACTTTTCACACAAGTATTCCGTGCTTTTCAGTAATATAACTACATTCATAGAAAAGTGTTGTCAATAGATTTAATCTGTCAATAGACACATGTAATTGTTCTGCGTTGGCTATCCTGTGTACTTGTCATTAGTGTCAGTTATGTTGATTGATCTTGACATTACTTTAACAAAATATTGAGAAAGATAAATGGAAAATGAATTCAATGAAAACAGACAATTCAACTCAACAATTTACAATATAAACAACTACATATGATGACTGACACTAATGACACACAGAGTAACCAACTATGAAAATATACATGTACTCTGAGTAAAATTATTATTATTATGGATAATGAAATGTAATCAATGAAAACGACTTTCCAAAAGCGAATGAAACTTAAGAATAGACAGTGTAAACAAACAATCATCTACATATATGTTATATATTCCAATGGAATATATAACATATGTCAATGGACCCTAAGGATAAATATACAGAGTAGCCAACATAGAAAAAAATACATGTTCTCCAAACGAAATCCTCATATGATTGTAGTTAGGTTTTCCTAAATATTCTCAAGAACCCGGCAAGAAGTCTGGCGTTTGGGAGAAGTTATTCAATTTGGGGGAAATTGATTTATAGATCATTTTCAGAGGTGGATAAATAAAAAAGTTTGTGAGTCTTCCCTATTTGCTCAGTTAACAATAATACTGACTTCTTCAAATTGTATGGAATTCCATTTTGTTGTTTAGCTTCATCACTCAGTTCATGATACAAGTAGCAGAACTTGGTAAATTTGGAATATTTTTTCAGGCAAACCTGCCGGAGAATAGGGAAAAGCAACCTTGGATCATCGTAATGGGACACCGACCCATGTACTGTTCGAATAATGACGACGATGATTGCACAAACCACGAAACCCAGACCAGAGTAGGGATGCCGTTCTTCAAGTTTTTTGGGCTCGAAGACTTGCTGTACAACTATGGTGTAGACCTGGAGATCTGGGCGCACGAGCATTCCTATGAGAGACTGTGGCCCATCTACAACTATACCGTCTACAATGGGAGTTACGAGGCGCCCTACGTCAATCCAAAGGCTCCCGTACAGTTCACGACTGGTTCGGCAGGATGCAGAGAGGGCAGGTGAGAGTTTCAGTTTATGTTGATAGTTTGTACTGGAACCTCTGGCGTAAAGTTAATGCATTGAAAACACTTTCAATAGATTTCAGTTTTATGGTTTGGTGATAAGAGAGGCATAGCGGTGAAAAACAGGTCTTTAGTGATAAGAGAGATCAGTCAGTTGGTGTGAAGAAAAGCAATGAGTGATAGAGTGATGTTGGTTGAAAGATGAAGAGATCTCTACTGATAAGAGAGTCATTTGATGATTAAAGAGACAGTGAATAAAGGGGAGAAATTAGTTTATTTGGTAATAAAAGAGCCTGCTAGTGATAAGAGACAGTGGGAATTGAAGTGATGATTAGAGAGATAGTGAATAAAGGGGGGAAAGTAGGTTATTTGGTAATAAAAGAGCCTGCTATTGATAAGAGACAGTGATGAAGTTACCTCGTATGATGAGAAAGAGTGATAGATAAAAAGACTGTCAGAGTTGAGGAAAGCAGGGGATACCTTTGGTGATTAGAGGATGAGAGACAGGTAGAAAAGTAATAGAAAAGATGTTGGTTAGGAGAGAGACCAGAGATGAGATTATTAGTGAATGATAAAAAGGTCGTTAGTGATTAGAGAGACTGATGAATCAGAGATGATGATGAGAGAAACAGTAAATACAGAGAGGGATGTGTTTGTTGGTGATGAGAGGCTCTGCTACTGATTAGAGACAGTGGAAGTCCAAGTGAATAAAGTGATAACAGATGCAAAGGGTGATGAATATACGTTAGATAATAAGAAATAGTGATAGATAAAAAATGTTAGTGTTAAGAGAAGCAGGGAGTAATAAGTAGGACTTTGGTGATTAGAAATGAGCCTGTGGAAACAGTATGATTAGAGACGTGTTGTTAAATTGGAGGATAAAATTGTCATTGGTTGTATTGAGATTGATGATAAAGTTTGAATAAGAGGCATTGGGCAGATGAGAGGGGTGAAGAATAATGCCAAAGTAATTATATTATTTAGGTACTGGCTCATATGATCAAATTCCCAGATCCCTTTCTAATAATTTTTCATCACATAGACTCACCTACTGACTTTTCTTTGCTTCTCATTTGTATTCACTTCATGTTTCATCATATTTAGTCCCTCTAACCCTCCATTGTCTCTTTTTTCACATTCAAAAGTCTGTCTAATTTCCTAACGTATCTCTCTTATCACCTCTCATCTCTATTATTTTCAACTGTTGTCACCTATTGCTTCTTTTATTGCTCTATCATATTTTTAAGTAAAGTTTGATATTCGTGACAAGACGGGTTGTGAGAGATATAAGAGGAATAATTCGCAAGTGAAAAAAGAGAAAATGATATTAGTTGGGTGATAGTAATGGATAAAAATAGCTTGAAAACAACAAGTAATTTGAGAAAAAGAGTAAAATATTGGATGGGCGAGATTCCAGATGTGAAAATGCGGAAAGTTGATAGTGTAAAAACATATTAGATGTGTTTATCGAATAGCGTTTCTTTTTCAGAGACGAGTTTTCGTACAAACCGCCTTGGTCAGCATTCCGCAGCAATGATTATGGTTATACTAGGCTGAAGGCCTACAATAGCACTCACTTACACTTGGAGCAGGTTTCTGACGACAAAGCAGGTGAAGTTGTCGACTCCTTCTGGCTGGTGAAGGATCGTCACGGGCCTTATCCGATGTCGAAGATGAACTGGGCCAAAGTGGATAAGATCAGACTGAAGTACATGGGTCTCTAGTGCTGGGTGTAAAGAATTATTTTTAATAGTCTAAGTGATATTTGTGTTTGATATAAATCTTTAGTAGTTGAAGCATTTGATGTTTTAGTGGGGTACTTCAAAGCTCAGCACTAGGGCGTTTCCATATATATGTATCAAATAGACTTGCTCAAAATATAAACGAACAAAAGTTATGGGGAATAATACATTTTTTGTACACTTTGCTGTGATAGATTAAAGTTTTTACATTTCTGAAGTTTTGTTTCTTTGCTATTATTAAACTTGTATTCAAAATGAATGATATTGAGAAGTGAAATTGGAACTTCTTTCATAGAATCAATCCGAAACAAATACCTCTGCCACACATCAGAACTGCAACACTTTTTTTGTCGCACATTTCACTAGCCAAGTCGGCGTCATCAGGAGATGAACTATACAGTGCACTATACTACACAAATTAGTTTTTTCTTGGTAACGCCATCTTGGTAAACTTTTATTGTGAAAAGAAAAGTTCACACATGCAGTTCGTGCTATTGGTAATATCCTGTGAAGTTACTGATGATGACGAAGTAGTATTCAGTCCAACTGTAGAAAGTCCTTCATGNCTTTTCTATAATTTTTATTTTTTAAATTTTTATTCATTTTTTTACTATTATTTTTTTCTATCTTCACGGTCCAAAATTTCCCAACTTATTCCCAACATGATTCATTATAATTGTTCTGATTATGAAAGTAACAAATATATTGGTTGTCATTAATAATTTTCCTGTAGATTGACTACTTTGGAATCAATTTGTTTTTTTATTCACACCTAAACTTATATACGGTGGTAAATGTAAATTTACTTTTACAACTGTAAATGGGGAATGTTCCTCAATTTGGGTTATTACAGCAAATGCAAGTTTGAACCGTGTTAGGAATCACACGTTAAAAGGTAAGACCTCGTTAGTCCTTAGCTTGCACAAGTTTCTCAACTTCTGAGAGTTGTCGTTCGTATGGGGGCGACAGCTGATTAACGGATACAAGTAACAGATTCATTGTCCTTTATTAGCTTCAACCGATGTTGCCAAATGGTGAAATAGAAATGAATCCATTTAAATGGAAATGCATTATTTCATTCCTCTTTTTTAAGTATTTAAATATTTTTTTAAAGAAAAAGGTTGAAATGATGAGTTTAACATGCGTTGTTTTAGAACTTTTTTATGAAAACTACTTGATTTTCGTCAGGAGGAACATTCCCCATTCAGTATTCAGTTATAGTCACTCCAAAAAATATAACCCTTTCAATTTGAGCTATCTATCATTACTAGCATCTGTAAGCAGCAGCACACTCCTCGGTCACTTTTGCACTTCAAACAATAGATGTCTAGTCAGTATATTACATATTACATTATTAGCAAAATATAAATTCGACTCAACAGTGCAACTGGAACTTGCCACGCTGTTGTCTCTTAACATCAGTAATCTCCCGAAGTCCGAGCGTGTGAAGATATCTCTCTACGTCTGTGACACGGCTCTCCTCTCATCTTCCATGGGTCGGGAGTTCGGGATCGTCTAAATGCAACGTGCATTGGACTACCTCGAACGCTGGTACCTCGACTGGAAGATCCTTGTGAACCCAGAAAAAATTCAAGCGATAACCATGGGAAGAACAATATCTTCTGCGGCTAGAAAAGTGAGGATCTCTGGAAGGGAGATCGACTGGCAAGCGCAGGTAAAGTACCTCGGTATTCTAATAAACCGTAGGCTCACCTGGAATCCGCACATCATAACCGTGAAGGCAAAGATCGAGGGTCGGATCAAAAGTCTGTACCCTCTGATCAAATTGAATTCACCTTAATTTCTGAGCGTACCTCGTATCTAAAGCGTATGAAAACTCAAACAGTGTAAAAATATTTATTCAAGTATAATATTAACAACATAACAAAATATATATTCAAGATAATACACATTTTTCAATACTATATCGTTAAATTCATTGTCGAGATTCAATGTTATAAGTTTGTTAGCTCTGCTTTTGTTGAACAAAGCACTGTTTAGTAAGGCCTCATTCATCAGTACGGTGATTAGTATTTCCCCAACTACATCCCATTCAATGCAATTTATAATTTCGTATAGATGCTTTCCCTTTACCCAAACTATGCACCTTCTTAGACACACAAGTCTCGTTCAAGGGCCTCATCCTATCCTTGCACAAATTCAAGTTGCAAATGCTGACAGCATTATTGAACTCATAAAATAAATTATTGTTGCCACCATTGGGGCCTATCAGATAATCGCACTTCAAGTTCCTTATTCTTATGTCGTCTAGGCAGCACTCCATATACTCGGAATGGACTGCGAAGTATTTCCCAATATCGAAGTGCCTTATTTTGAGCTGATTGGCCAAAATACCCGTAACGTAGGTATCATCGATCCAGAAATACTTGTTAGTTTTGGAAAGTTTGACTAGGTTTGCTGCCGTTTCAGGTGTTGTCACGTAAAACCATCCGGACACAAATGGGGGATAGCTGGAAGAATTATACTCTTCTGCAGTGACATACCACTTATTCGCAGGTTCACGAATCGGTTGCATATTCCTCAAAATATAACCGGCAATAACATTTTTTCTGCTGGGCATTTTCAAGGAATCTAGAATTTCAGTAACTTTCTCGATATTTACAACGATATCGTCATCCATTTTCACGATATACTTGGCACTAGAACAGAACTTTGAAGCCCATTTCAAACCCATTACATGTTTGTAGGTCAAGTTTTTGTAAGCTTCGATAAAGTTTCCTTGGATCAAGTCTCCAAAACGTTGACCTTCATCTGCAACAGATTTCTGACTAGTATATTTATCGGAGGGGGCTCTACCCAGCAAAAACACCCTACGGAAGTTCAGGTGTTTCAGATCTTCTGAGGAAAAGGCTCTGCGCATGGCACTTCTAGTTTCCACGTTTCCAAAGTATGAAGTGACCAGAAATATCGCTTTTATGCTGGTGTCGCCTTTGCAAGTATTCGAGTTGTGTTGAATGTAGTGGAAGTTATCTATATCGAATAACTTTTCGCTTTGAGAATGTTGGGCCTGCTCTTTCTTTTGATATTCAACATTGTCGATTATTTTTATGTAAACTTCCTCCTGTGTCGAACTGTAAAGATACAGAACTGAAACTGCACTGATGGCAATTGTTGTTATTATCAAATATTTTAGTTTTGCTTGCACCATATTCATAGATGTTTTGTGTGCTACATATTTTTTTAATTTCTGTTCAGCATCATTAATTAATATCAAACAGGTTTTGGTGTTCATAAGTGATGATACGATAACCTGAATTGAAATGTAATCCCTTTTCTACGTAGGTAGGCATATATTCTTCATTCAACAAATTCAAAACTAAACCAAAACAAACATTATACATTCATAGACTTTTCAATGCAAGGACGTCCAGTTCCGTCACTTTCCATTTGATTTCTTGAGAAGGACATTAGAGAAAGAGAAACTATGGAGGATAGAAAAGAGCCAAATGTAATATTTCTTTTATATTTTTCAGTTTTGAAAATTTGCGGCCGAGCAAGCGAGATTTGATACCACGTGATCACAGAACGACTAGTTTATCATCACAAATATATAATTAATTATAAATTCTAGGTAAATCAGGGAAAACCATTTCCAATAACAATTGTTTGAATCTGAAAAATATTTATGAAAACAAATATAATACCGCAATGTAGTTGTTTTTATTTCTAAGCAATTTTCGAAACTTTTATTATGAAATATCCTGCAGTTTGAAGACAGACGCACCTATCTTTGGGACCTCCAAATATCTATTTAATCAACATTTTTTGGGGAGGCTTCATGAAAACCAAGATACTATTTAAAGTTTTTATTGAAAAAAATGTACTTCCTACATCGGATATAACAAATTATGTTCAACTAATTAATAAACAACAATATAGGTAACGGATATAGCACAATTATAAACAGACAATGGATGCAATGAATTGTACTGGCAAGATATACCATAAAATGATGAAAATGTAAAGGACCAGCAGTTCGAACAATCCTTGAATTTATTAAAAAAATATTCAGTCACAATTGAAACAGGCTTGATAATGATGTGAAAGGGTTAATGCCTCAATGGAATAAAGTATCTCAACTATTTTTGTATTAGGGAATGCATAAGAAGACCATTCTGAGTTAATAAGCACGTGGATTATGATGCAAATGAACAAAAGAAAGCAAGTTTGATAGGGATGCGAATAAAATTCAATTGTGGATGATGAGAAAGGGATGCTATCATAGTTAGTGGCGAAAGTATTATTTACTTAAAAAAAATGAGACCCCTTTTCGAATATAGTGAAATGGCTAATACAAAATTGGAATGAATTTTTTCTATGGAAGTGAAATAACAATGTTAAAAAAATGAAAAATATTATAACGGCATGTTACAAGAAAACAAAACTTCGTAGTGTGTTATTTTGTTTTTGTTTGAACCACTTTCGTGTTGGCAACACTTATATTTTTTGATGTTTTGTGACTGCTTAGAATGCGTGTTCGGTTATTCTCCCCCTATATCAATTTTATATAATATAATGATTTTAAGCTTAGACAAGCCTTGTCTATTGTTATTGAGATTTTTTAAAATCCCACACCTGGCACAAAATTTTATTCGCAAAATACAACTGATACCTATATACTATTATATCAAAATATAACTTTATTGTAATTGATACTGAAATATAAAAATGAATATAATTGTATGTTTCATTTTGATGAAAATATTTTTTATTCAAGTAGTCCAAACTAAAATTTCATAGGAACTAAATTTGTGGCTGAGATATTTGGGAATAGAGACTTTGTAGAACAACTTAGAGAAAAAAATCAGTATGATAATAGATTCTATCTATTACGTGTTCTTAAATAAAAGTTGAAATACATTTTTTGAACAACTCACCTTTAGGATCAACTATGGTCTGTACAGAACTGCTTGGAGCCTGATTGGGTTGAAGATAAACGTACTGTGGAGTATAATACTGCTGCACAGCCTGCTGGGCGATATTGTTATCGGACAAGTACTGTAACTTCTCGAATCCTTGGTACTGTCCTTGCCCCTGGGGAACATAATAGGCTTGCACGGCAGGTTTCTTTGATGGCCCTGTATACACAGGACCACTATATGTCGGAGCAAGGCTACTGTACTTCTCAGGAGCATTGTCAGTGTACTGTTGGCCCTCAGCGTACTGCTGTCCGCCTTTATACTGTTCTCCCTGCGTGGACTCAAGCCCACTCAAATACTGCTGTCCTCCCAGGTACTGCTGGAAATCCCCTAGTTGAAATTGAAAGTCGTAGTTAGCCTTGGGTTCCTTCTGAATGTAGTTCGATAATGTTTTGGTTGGCACGAATCCGAATTGGGTGGGGGACTTCGCTGGTATCTTCGGAGCGGGCGGGGGTGTTAATTTTGTTTGTTTTCGAGTGGTGATGTAGTCTCTTTCGATGTCTTCCAATGTTGTTTTCAAATTGTCCCTAGTGCCGGCAAAAACGGCCATAAAGAAGAGGGAAAAGACGAAAAGTAATGATTGTGTCTGAAAAAAAAACACATAATAATGTGTAAGCAAAACGTAACGGAAAAAATAATTAATCAATTGTTGACAGTCCGGTATTTTTGTTGTTGTTAATTTCTAATTTAACAATTTAATAACTTTCATGAACTGATAATTTGACGAGTTAACTCCAATACTCAAATAATAATAATACTAATAATAATAATAACACAATACTCTTACGGCATTGACGAGACACCGGTGATGCCCTACGCTCCGGGGATATTGAAACCGTTGTGGGGAACGAGAAGTGTCGAATTTATTGGAACTATTCGTTCACCACCCTCAGGCTCATACAAGCTAATAAGCCTGATGTAGTCCTTCTCGACCACCAGACCAAAACGATATTTGTCGTGGAGTTTTCAGCTCCTGGCGAGACAAAATCGTCAGAAAAGAGGAGGAAAAACGGATAAAATATCGAGATTTTTTTCTTCGAACTCCGCAGACTCTATCCATATCACTCTATTAAGATGGTTGTTCTGATTATTGGAGTACTTGGTGGAATGATGTCCTCTCTACTCCTGAATCTTAAAATCATACCGGCTTGCCGCACTAAGGCAGAAATCTTAGCCGCGCAGATGCAGAAGGCTGTCATTCTCGGCTCACTGCGTTTGCTCAGGGCACATGATTCTCGGACCCAATGATCACTTACCCCACGGTGTGGGGAGTGGTCATTGGTTGATTATGCTGGCGCGCCCTCCCGAATGTATCGGGGCTTCGGAGGATAGGGCCTGACCAGCGCACACTACGGTGGAAAAATAATAATAATAAAAAAATGGTCTTTATTTTACGTGGCGGAGTTAAGCAAAGCGCGATTCTTCCACTCAACTCCAAATAACATTACTGCTGTGTGACTTTCACTGGGCAGTTTACAAAACGCCAACACGTGTTGGTGGTACTTGAATGTGTTACGGATTTTCATCATGTATCGATCAAGTTCATCACATATGCAACTCAAGTTAAAGTCTACTACTATAGCAGTGCTGATTCTATTAATGATTTTGAGGACAAAACTCCTTGTGTTAAAAACCTCTGTTTATGATACAAGAGGGCGTTAACACGTATTTAATGAAAATACTTTTACTGCCCGATAACGAAGTCATCATCAAGAGATGTTATACTCGTAGTCATCTCCTGATGATGCTAACTTGGTTAGCGAAACGATCGTCGAAAGACAGTGCTATTGTTCCGGAGTGTGAACGCGTTATGATTATACTTTGTTTCCTGAAAGAAAAAAGTAATGAACGCTTCTGTATCTGTAGAGTAGGGAGGGTGAGTGTAGAACCACAACACTTAGGGCACATGTGACCCATTGTACATCCTCCCGAGGAGTTGTCCTCCTAGGCCATTGTCCATCCTGTCCTTTTCAGGAAGGAGGACAGGTCACTAGGAGACATCTCCTTTATATTGACAGGTGTAGGCCAAGACTCGCCGAACACACACTCTCTTTGGCAACCTTGAGGTGTCTCACGGCGGCCTTCGTGAAGGTTTTGGACGGTGCAACGACATTACTGTCGTTGCGCGGCTTCTTCAACCTTCTTGGGATTCCCTCCGTGGAGGTACTCCAGTAACAGCGTTTTCCTGCAGTGGCAGCCGGTTCCTTGCTTTTATTCAAGGCGGAGCTCCACCTGTTGAAGGTGGAGTGGGGAAGGAGGAGGGTGCACTTATAGTTGCTGCCACTTCTGCCTCTATCGCTCTCTTTCTCCTTTTGACCTCGGCGCCTCAAATACGCTTACGCCTTGACATTTGTATTATATCACGAGATGATCTGCCATGTCCAGCGTCATTCCTAGTGGTAGATTGGGGCGGACATTTCTGTTCATCCCCAGCCACTGCCATAGATTGAGGTGAGCATTTCTGTCCAGCCTTGGGATTGGTTTTTGTTTTTTCAGTATCTGTTTTTGCGTTTGTTTTATTCATGTGTGTTCCCACGAGTAGCAGGCGAATAGTTGGCCACTCTGGCAGAGCCTCGCATTACCAGAAGAAGGCTGATTACAATGAGGTTTCTGACACTGACCAGGTGTCCGGCGACCCCGTCCGTAAAGCCACATTGGCTTCGCGGACAAGGCCTCCAGTCCCTTGGCCGTTCCCCTATCCGCCACCTGGGGAGGCGCCCGAAAGGTAGCCCAACCCACATAGTAATGAAAGCTTATTATAAATGTAAAACGATAACAGCAGAGTGAATTGCCACCGTTTGTATAGGCTGGTTTATAATTCTCCATCGGATCCACCCTATTTTTGTATCGCAAACGGGTCGCGAACGAAATATTTTATGAGCGTTCGGGTCGTTTTCTGCCTGCAGTGGCGTGCGTTTGGGTATTTAATGAAAAGTACTATGTTGAATTATTTTTATNTATGATTTTATGGATTTAAGAATTTCAAAAAATAACTGGCAGAAAAGTTCATCGTAATTAGAAAATCAAGAACCAACAAATAAATTGTGTCGACGCATTAGAAACTCAAACTTCATTAATATAATAACGTAAAGACTCGTAAATCGTATCAGGTGTGCCCTTATTAATAACTATTATCCGCATCAAGCCATCTACGATGTTACACTTTCACTGCAGATGATAAAAACACAAAACTCGCCCAGTTCCTATTCCGGCTTGGTAAAATCTATCTCCGATGATAATCGAGTGGGTTTTGCACTTATTCCAACAAATGAAAGTTATCATTCGGCTTCTATATCAATTTCTTTTTTCGCATGTATGGGTGTTTCCTTTTGTTGTCATTTAATGTCACGAAAAATTTGAATACCCATGAATTCCACATTTCGTATTTTCGAAAGTTTTTTCCAAAGTATCGCTTCCTCGTTTTCAGGAATTGAAACAAGTGATT